GGGGTTTTAAAACCCCCCTTTAGTTGTTTTCCTGGATCTGCTCTTTTCCTCCCCCCCCCCCCCAAACAATCTGTGTCCTTGGAAGGACGGAAGGCAGAGTCAACCTAGAGCCTGGTGAGATTCAGTCTGCCAAATTGCAGGCAGCCGGCAGTCAGCAGAAGTAGCCTGCAATACTGCACTCCAACCACTGAGCCATCTCAGCTCTTAACATAACCTTGAATGATCGTTAAGTGACTAATAAAAAGTTGAAGACGTTCTACTACCTTTCCAGGTGGCAGCCTGGCCATTAGGGGTGTGAGTGGGAGGCACACATGTTCGCACAGCGAGCGGCACCTTTGTACCCTCCACTTGCGCGAATAGAGCTTCGTGCGTGAGGGAAGGGTGCTTGCATTCACGTGCATAGCTCCACTCACATGAGCAACAGGGACTTGTGCTCATGAACGAGGTTCCTCTAACCTTAACCCAACAGTGGGACCCCTGCTGTAGACTCAAAGCCTGATCCCTCCGCGACTCTGCTGAAGTCGATCCATGCCAGTGGTGCAATTGACACAACTTTCATGCCGTGTCACCGGCAAGAATCCCATCCGGCTGCTTGTTTGGGGGAGGTTCTCCAGCCCTCCCTGGGACATCTGACAAGGCTTTTCTCTCTGCCGAGCCCCCCAACCTGGGCCTGTCGCGGGAGAGACCTCAGCAGGGCTCCTTCCCCAAATCTTGCCTCCTGTTCCTGTATCACGTGGGGCCAATAGGGGCCCTTCCATTCCATTTCCGCCTCTTTTTCTTGCCAGAGACCATAACGCAGGAGAGCAAAGGGGTGATCATCGTCGCCGTCATCGTCTGCCTGCTGCTGTTTGCCGTCCTGGGGGCTGTCCTTTACTTCCTGCACAAGAAAGGAAAGCTGGTTTGCGGGCGCTCCGGCAAGCAAGAAATGTAAGTCGGGAGCGCTTCCTGGGAAATTTCCCCTTTGCCCCTCCGTCCAAGTCCACACGCTTCCCAGTCTCATTGCACCCAGCAACAGCCGGCTTCTGAATGCAAGGGAAAGGGGTGGGTGGGTGGGTGGGTGTGTTGATCCCCTTATCACCCCCTCCCCCAAAGCAGCAATCGGGAACCTCCATCTTCCCCTTAATCCCTAATGGACTGTGAGGATGGCCTTGGCACAGGAGGGAAAGTCACAGTCCAACTCTCATCCCAAAGTGGGAAGCATTAACCAGAGGGGGCGGGGGAGGAAAGTAGAGTACTTTCAGACTTGCAAAACTGATGATAGCCCTTCAGAGTTGTCCAGACAAGAAGCGCCAATCATGTGTACAAACTTTATTATAAGGTTACTCCAACAGAATAGCAAAAGCACTTAATAGACTGCTTCACAGTGCTTTTACAGCCCTCTCTGAGCCGTTTAGTCAGCCTATTGCCCCCAACAATCTGGGGGTCCTCATTTTACTGACCCTAGAAAGATGGAAGGCTGAGTCAACCTTGAGAATCTTGCAAGCCTGAAAGCTCTTTCCCCCTCCTATGGTTTTAATTTCAACCAAAACTAGGGAGGGTCCCTTCTGAAATGCTTCCCACCCGCTTCTCCTTCTGTGGACTGATATATCTTTCGCGTGACGGTTGTTTACTCTGCAATTCNCAGCGGGCCACGGTAAAATTATCAAAGGCTGACTGGTCCGCGGCGATAAAAAGGTTGGGGACCACTGCATTAGGGGAAGGGCAAAGGGTTGGATGCGCCCATTCCTTGACTATAAAAACTGTTGTAAGATTCTAATCTTGGCCATTGGTTAGCTTTTCAAAACCGGGGTCCTTATATCTTGGTGCCAGAATAAAAGTATAATTCTAGATCACACCTTGTGTCTGGTGACTTATCTGCTTCGACACCAAGCAAGAGCCCAGTTTTGGGGACAACAATTGAATGGTGGAGATTGGAAGGATTTATATTCCTTGCAGTCCTCTGGTTGTTAGTGCTCTCTCTGAGAGTTATTGCGGTCATTTGGTGGTTTATCTGTGCCCTCGGGGTCAACTGAATAGCACAAACTGGTGTGGAACCATCTTGGAACTGCTGAAAGGACTGTGTTGTAAACTGGAGAGAGGTGTTGAGAGAGGGCTGTTCAACCTTAACCAGTGGTGGGTTCCGGATCCTGTTGCAACCGGTCCAGCATCCTCCACATGAATGCATGCAGCACGCACGCACACACATGCAGTGCGTGCATGCGTTGTACCTTCCAGCAATGCCTCCGCAAGACTCTGTGATGCTCCAGCTGCTTGGCAGAGCATCGCGCAGGCGCTGTATGCGCCGTGCACCAAAGCACCGAAAGCTTTAAAGGACAGATGAGCTCGGGCAGGTGGTTGGGCCCTCCGGAGCACCATACCGGAATGGAACTCGGTGCTCCAGGCAGGCTCCGGTACGCCCATACCAGGCATACTGCCTGCAACCCACCACTGACCTTAAAGTAGATAACGTGAAGACTGTCACGATGTTGTTGTTGTTTTTGCCAGCTGTGCTCATACTCTGAGATATACGGTAGACTGACTCTTGTCTGTAAACTCTACTGAGCGTGTCCATTTGCCTTTCTTTTTTCTCGTTCTCCTTTTTCTGTTCGCCTGCCACGAGGAGGTAAGCTAGGAACTTTGCCAAAATGTAGTTATTAGCTGGTAAGCTTGTTTGTTATTTATTTTACAATAAAAATGTGTTTCTTAGAATATACCTCGGGCTTATTTTTCTTAATAGTAAAGTATACTTCAAGGAAAAACCACGGTTGATTCCTCCTTTAAACACAGGGCTGAATTTGGCGCAGTGGTTAGGGTGCAGTACTGCAGGCCACTTCAGCTGACTGTTATCTGCAGTTCAGCGGTTCAAATCTCACCGGCTCAAGGTTGACTCAGCCTTACATCCTTCCGAGGTGGGTGAA